TTTTCATATTGACCTCAGTTTTGAAACTTTATACTCTTAAATTTGCACTGGAATTAGCTTCTTGTTCCCTATTAAGTCCAGTGGGATGACTTGTCCAGAGATGTCCAGACCTCTCTGATGACTGGGGGCCATGTGTTACAACATCAAAACAAGTTACTCATTATTTAGTTTTATATCAAAACTGTGGAACTAATGTGTTACTTGAAAAAAAAAACCAAAACGTTCTGAACTTCTCCCAAATCGCAGAGGCACAACTTAATTCAATTTCTTTGCTGTCCCAGTTTTTAAAGGGTGCAAGTGCAAAATTAGTGATGTTGYTTCAAATGAAAGCAGCAGCCAAGACACCTCAAACAGAGTTGGGCACTTTCATTCATATTGCAGTTTTCCATGTTTATTCAAGTATATARGACATACTTAAAAAGGGAAGAGAATTATCATTTAGAATTGAGCACTGACCTTTTTTCTTTGTTGATTTATTAAGCTTCAGAACTGAGTTATGTTTGTATTTCTCTTTAGCTGTTTTTTCTGCTGCTGTTTTCTTCAGAATTGCTGAAATCAGAACAATTGCTTAACAGGACCCTTGTGTATTAAAGGTTAAAATCCTGATATCTCAAAGTGATAAGCCTAGCTGCCATGTATTTTCACTGGAGAGATATATGTATAAATAACCCTCTTCAGCCTCACTAACATAAGACAAGTTCCACAAGCACCCAGTACAACCTCCTTTCAACATCCTATAATTTTAAAACATTTTTTTCAGTTGAAGTGCTTTGAAGGCAGATCTAGAATGATGGTTTATGGCAGAAGAATCCTCATTTTTCCAGCCAAACTTGGCTAAAAGAAGTTAACTCACTTTCATTTAACAGCAAATCAATGAGGGCTGCAGATATAATGTACTAACCCTTCAGTATAATTTAATGGAGTGCATTTCAACAAAAAAGGAGAGCTGACTGAATCAGCTGTGAGCCAGCACCAGCTGAACATCACATTAAAAGCTGTGTAAGCTCATGTGCTCAGAAAATGGCCTTGTAGAGAGAAATCRGGCAAAACATCCCCTAAACCTTATTCACTTGGAAACTCTGACATTTTCACACTGTAGATTTGAACTTGATGATCTTAATGGCCTTTTCCAACMTGAATGATTCCGTGATAAGTGCAATTAGTGCAGCAAGTGCTCATCCTTTTGGGGAAAAAACAAATTAGTACTGGCTATTCTGGTCTTCATTCAGTCTTTCATGTCTTGTTTCTCTCAGCTGTGAAAAGAAAAACAGCCACAGTCACGTTTCCAGCCAACACTCAGCTGACCCATGATACAGGAAAAATGCAGAGGATTAGGAACGCTTTCCCTGGTTGCCCAGGCAACAGTGAGCCACGGGAATATGAAAAGGTATTGACATCCTTTGTACAGTATCTCACTCGAGTTCTCAGATGCRTTTGTAATTTTCTATGTTTTTCTTCTTTACTATTATCACATACTTAAAACATGAGCATTATTTGTTTAGTCTGCTACCTAGAATGTGAAAATAATGAAAACAGATGATTTGTCTTTTTCCTACAGGATAAAATAAGTAGTTTTCTAAGAGGCTGAGGAAATTTTGAAAATTGTGCACTGGAAGGTTTCTAGGTGGTATCCAAAACACATCAACTCTTGTCTCTCTGAAAAAAAATAATCCTGGTAATTTTGTGTGTCTTTTAAGAAAAGAAAATAATCATTGCTTTATATGTTTTTTCTTTCCCACTTACGTGTGCAAGTACCTAATAAATGGGCCCCATAAAGTTGCAACTACACAGACCTAATCAGCTGTCAAAATAAACTTACAGAGAAAGATCGTTTCTGAAGGCTTTATTTTCCAAATTAAAAAAAGATGCTTAGAACTCAGAAATGAATGTAAGACTAGCAAGTGAATAGCATTCCAAGTTAGACATCTCTTTGTTATATGAGACAGGCACAAAAATTCCATCCATATATGCATGTAAATTGTTATCATACATCCTCAATACAAACAGCAAACACATTTTTGGTTGGCCTGATTTATAGAATTTTGGACCACTCAATGGCTGTGAGTGTATTATATCTTGATTTTGTATTTTTAAATATGTAAACTATACTTGCAATGAAAGGAATGTCCGTGAATTATGTGTCAGTGTGAGTCATCCCACAGGCACCACCTGCACCTCTGCATGAGGCAATTTCTTTGACTCACTGTGTCTGTCAGGGTCACACACCCCCTCTCGTTCTTTTGCTGATTTTGAAGGATTCCAGCCTTGGCCTGAGTCACTGGCTGTGTCAAGCAGGAGTTTTTCAAACTCCTTTAATGAAATGTCAGTAGGATTTCCCCCCACCTCTCCCTTCTGGTAGCTCATTCCTCTGCACTGAAACATGTCCTCAGATGCCATATAAGCACTGGGATAGTTGGTCTTCACAGATAYTCTTTTCACTACCAACCTGCTACATTTTTCTACTGTCTATTTTGAGTTCTTGGATGATACACACCAAAATAAACCCAAACACACATACACCTCCAGGGTTCCTGGCTTACAGAGCACCTGCTCCCCACATTTGYTGGGATATTGGGTAATGCTTCAGGACACTGTACTGTCACTGTATGGGGTTGGTGGATGAATGAATGAAACCAGAGCATGGAGCCCACACAGCAGCTGTTGGGATTGCTCTTGCAATTTCAGARCATTCAGGGTAAGTGTAAACCTACTGAGAAACCCAGAAACCCAATCCCTGGAACTGGATGTATACTCAGCAGCAAGACTGATGTTGAAGAGCCCGTGTGTGTTATCCCTAACACAAGTGAGACTGATGTTTGCAAAATCTSTGTACCCTACTCAGTWATGCTCACAATTGTTCTTCTCACAYCTATTTGTATCATATGTCCCCAGTGCCTCTTTGTGCTTGTCCTCTGCTCAGCCAGACAATTCCCAAAGGRCGTCTTAAGTTATTCTTTAAAACTATCCAGGTCCCTTTACAACTACTAATAGAGTGCTCAGTGCATTCCTTTATCATGAAGATGTTTTCTCCCTCAGCCATCATTACTGAGACAGAAAACTCTTCTGGTCTACCTCTCCCCTTTGAAGGAGGGCAAGGTGATTAAGAAGTCAAACACTACATTCCCATTGACAGTAGTTTATGAGTTCTGTCTGAGCGGATTCTTTGCCTTAACTGATGGCTTTGATTGAACAGATGATGTTCTGAAAGAAAGCTGTCTACTCTAAAGGGCTCCATAGATACACTCAAATTTCTCTACAAAATAGAGCTTTTAAGACTTCTCTGCCTCTCCATGTCCAGGGCATATAGTCAGGAGGCCAGCCTGCCTAACCCACAACCCTGAAACATCTCCCTGTGCACTCACAAACACTCCCCTGGACAATGACCCTCTGCTGCAAACCACCAAGCCTCATTTTASCCTGACACATGCAGCTCTAAACAYTGGCAGCTCTAAACATCTGCATCTCTGAGATGTTAATGGCAGCTGCAGAGAGCTTCTCCCAACCTATGTTCAAGATAACGCAGGGCACATGGCAGCCAAGTCAGACTCAAAAGGACAATATTCCAATTGCAGTTTGACAGAAGCAGCTAGAACTTCTCCATTTTGCCATTCAAGGAAAATGCTGTTTGTTCCTTAGCACAGGGAATTTTATGAACCTGTAATTTCATCAAGCTGGGGTTCTTCAGGACAGTCTCAGCCAGACACCACTGCATATCCTCTGGCCTAACTTTTTATAAAAATGTTCTTCAGAAGAAAACATTGAATTTCCAGGGAATTGAAGGCACATCACAACACTTCTGTGCACACTGTCCCTACTTAAGAGAGGAGTGAAGCTCAGAAATGAGCCAAGAGAAACCACATCTTATCAGCATGGACCATCTGTGCAGCTAGAGCAGGAAAACATCAACACCATCCTATCAAAAAGCTGCAGTCACTGSAGTGTTATCCCGTGCTGCATGCCATGAGCTGCAAGAGGGAGACAGCCAAGAAGCATGAYGTCACTGTGTCCAGTTCCCAGTGGAGAAGGGAGATGAGAAAATTCTGGAAATGTTGCCATTTTCCCTTACTTGAGGTCTGTACAGCAAAACTGAACATGACTTAAGAAAATTAGAGAGTACAGTAAACAAACAACCTGGCTAAACTGAACTGAAATAACTCAGCAGCTCCAGAAGAGGGGGGGAGTTGACAATCACTGTTTGTATTACTGAGGTCACATAATATTTTCTCAGTACTTTTCTCTAGCCCTGGGGACTCTAAGCTGTGATACAGAGAAGACACTTGTCTCTTGGCACACAATCTTTGGAACAGGCTTTGGAATGATTGGCTGAGCCTCGCTGATCACCTTAGGGAAGAAGGTGCTGCAGTCCAAAGGTGTTAGCACAGACACAACTGCTCACTGCCTAGCACTGCCCTGCCAGGTGACTGTAATGATAAGCCGTGGATCTGCAGATAACCCAGTTTCAGCACGGGCTGGAAAACTTCCTGCAGGTCCATATTCACACTAACTTGTGCAGCTGCTTGGGATAGCCAGTCTATCACTGTGGGAAGTGCTCTTAAATTCCCAGGCTGTTTGCTGCTGGCAGTGAGGAGGAGACAGGGGAAAAATTTTAAAAAAGAGGCAGTGGCTCTTCAGAGAGCAGAATTGTGTGTATAGGGTGAGTCTGTAGCTGTTCTGAGCACAGGCTGATCCCATGGTGCCCTGGAGCTGACACCATCCCTGCAGCCTTGCTCTGCTGGGTGCTCATGACTACACAGGGAAGCAGGACACAGTCACAGTTAGATTGGATAAAGTCTTGTTAGCTGAATTTCAGTATTTCTGATCCTTTTGCTTAGGATTCACTTCCCAGTCAATTTTACGTTTTTCTTTACTTCATCCATAATTAATGTACTAAACCCCGTGCTTGACAAGACTAATGAGAAAAAAAAGAAACCCCTCCTCTTTCAAGAGAACAAATACAGGGGGAAAATAAAAAGAAGAAATGCCAGGTAAAATTCTCCCACTGAAAATTTCAACAAGAATGTATTTGTCTTTTATGTTGAAAACTGGGGTGCTTCYCCTTTCGTAAAACCAAGTCCAATGCCCACGGCATGGTGTCATCCTCATGTTGGCACGTGGAGAGAAGTCYCACTGGCCAAGTGATGGCCACCAGAAACACAGTGTGGAAGGAATTTGATGTGTCCTCAAGGAGAACTGAATCCCAGCCACAGCTGCACCAGTTGCTATAAAGACATCCCACTTCTCTTCTTTGAATCCTTCCGTGCAATGGGACTGAAGGTCAAGATCTCCTTGTAAATGTGCTCTTGAAAAACAGAACAAAATAACTGTGAATGTGTGATTTTAGCGGACACAAATAAAAGTTTGAGTGTTGGATGTGCAGAGAGYGAAAGGGATTTAGTGGCAGCTGAAAGAGACAAATGAGAGAGACAAAAAAAGTCTCCCTGAAGAGCTGGAAGGATCTTCACTGAATGCATAAAGCCAAGAGCAAGGCAAGAAATCTGTGTACTATCACTGAGGCATCAGCAGGCAATCACAGCCTTCCTCAGCACCTATAGGCAAGAAAGAGGGGAAGGAAAGTCTCATTGTAGACAGGARCCTCAAAGAAAATAAACTTCTTACTTTTCCACTCCTCTATTGAAAGCTTTTCATGTTCCAGAGAATCATCATASGAGTGTTGTGCCTCTGTCTCCTCTTCRATATCTCGGAACTGGTCGAAGTAGGGGTGAGCCAAGGCCTCTGTTGCTGTCAGGCGCTTTTCCACATCCAGCTGCAGCATCTTGTCAAGCAGGTCCACGGCTGTAGAGGATGGGAACAGGGATAAGCAAGGTGCAGGAGAGAGCAGGCACCCTGTGCATGAACCCTTTGAGTGGAGAACTGGTATTTCCAGTACTGCAACTCCACACCTGAAAACTGAAGAGATTCCTCAACCTGGTCAAGGCAGCAAGGAGCTCCTGCCAGTGGARATATAAAGTCTGCCCAACAGCAGCCTCGGGGAGCTCTTACTAACAGAACTTAAATTGTGCAGGAATAACAAATTCGGCTTGAATAAGCCTTGYTGCATAGATGGGGCTGCAGAAACATGAGGACTAAAATAGTAACCTCAAAGCAGCCTTCACATGAGAAATTTGTAYAGAAATCTGTACATCCCTGGTAAAGGAGAAGGTGGGAACCTCAGATACTGAGTAGTCTGTCAGGCCCATTCCCACTTGGTTTTAACATCTTAAGACTTTCTTCCATTCAGTTTCTAGAAGAGTTTTGYTCATTCTCTACTTGGGAAGAGCTCTTTGTAAGAGATCAGTTATTACCCTGAAAATTGCACATCTGCTCTCTGTTAAATATTACTAGATCCAGGTACTCAACAAATAGGATCTACACTGTACTTAAAATRATAATTTTAAAAAATTAGTTAACAGCCAAGAACAACAGAACATCTCCATTGTAATGCCAATAAAATACAATTTTGCTTTAAACTGATACATTTTCCCTGAGGAGGGGCAGGGGCACAACTGCAAGGGGGAAAGTAACAAGAAATTCTGAGAAAAAGGAGAAATAGAGTTGGGGCTAWGGCAGTCAGCTTGCCTCTGGGAAAGAGTTCCAGCTGTGAAAACTCATGAGAAATGCTGAAAATTACTTACCCTGAGGATTTGCTTTAGGGAAAAGCACAGACAAATCCTTCTTGGGGATTTTGGGAAGGGACTTGATATAACTCTTGGCCTGAAAGAGCAAGGAAAACACAATTACTGCACGTGGACAGGTGTGAAATACAGCTCCCAGTTCATGGCTCTGATGAGCAAAGGCAAATGGAAAGAACAGCAAAACATCCCAGATGTCACATTTCGGCAAGCAGTTTACAAGGAACTGTTTTTATCAACTGAGACAGAGAAAGCTTCAGTTTTCAGCGCCAGGCTGGAGAATAGAGAAGGTTGGTGGTTTGCTGGGGCATCAGGCACCTCACGTGGGAATCCCTGCAATACACAACAGTCCCCAACACAGCTCCAGGTCCATCAGATGTGCCACCAGCACCRAGAAATGTCCTCCTTGCCAAGGGGAAAAGCCCTTGCTGCACTTCACTGCTGGCATTTCATGCCTCTCCCATGTCAAATACAATGTAACCTCTCCCCCTGACACTGTGCCAGCAGGACCCAAATCCACAGGGAACTTCCTTACCGCTTTGTCCTCCAGCTTCTCCAAGAAGTCTTCTCCTGGATGCCCYGTTACTTTCAGGATCTGGGTCAGTTGATCCAGGTCTGGCAAGCTGTGTTAAAGATCACCCATTGAGGAGCAACCCCTAGACACCCCCAGCTCAGCCTGTGAGAGCTACATTTAGGTCATGATACAAACCCAACACAGACACACGATTCATTAGAYTGGCAAAAAAAGCTCCAGACCTTTCTTGGCTTGCCATTTCCAGCAAGAGATAATTTTTCTGCCACAACTATACCAGGACACACATCCATAGGCTTGGAAGGATATGCAAAGCTTTGGGAATGGAGCTATGGCCACACAAGGTTGAACAGAGCCACACCAGCACAGAGGTAAATTTGTAAGGTCCCTCTTCGGTGTTTTCCTCACCAGAAAGACTGGTCTTAGTGATTACCTCCTGATAAACCAGACTGACACCTGTTTTTCTCAGTAGCCTCATTCATAGAAGCCCGTTCACACACACCAAGAATTATTATTCCCCTCAKGGAAAAGATTCAACTTGAAAGGATACAGTCTTTTCCTTTAAAGAGTGTTTTCCCAGTCAGCATTTCGGCCATGATACATCCAATAGACCAGATATCCACTGTTCAGAGAGAAAAAAGAGGGGAAAAAAAAATAAAAAAAAGAGAAAAAGTACATAAAAAAGACAACAGTGACTGCTTGGGCTGTTGCTTGGCACTGATTTAAATTTCACTCACTCCCACCCTCCTCGGTTCTTTCTATGCTGCTAAAACCTCTGCTTTCATCACTTCCTGCAAGCACCAGCTCTGGGAGTTGTGTAACACCTCTGGGACGTGCTYTGCTCCAAGGGAACACCGATGATGAAGAGGAAAAACGATTATGTGAGATTTGGAGAGTCACACTGGAGAGTCACACTGCTGGGGCAGGGCTGCTCACCTGTCTGGTTGTAATGCATCCAGTTCAGGATGACTTCAGGGGCTCTGTACCACCGTGTGACCACRTAGCCAGTCATCTCAGCATCAGCCTGCCTGGCCAAGCCAAAATCCAAGATCTGCAATTCCAAAGGAAGAATAACAAGAAGGAAGGGCAGGAGAAAAAACAGAAATCCTATGGGCAAGTGAGACTCTACTTCTAAGAGAAAATGAAATAGCTTCAATCAGATAATAACAAAGCTTCAGCTGTACCACAGACACCATGAATTAATTCAAATAATTAATATGTCTTAATTCCACTGTAAATTGCAAGCCAGCTTCAAACCCATTTGTGGTGAGAAGATCCTAAACTAAAGAAGTTTAGAAGACTAAACAAATAATGTTCATGTTTGAAGTACGTGATAATAGGAAAGGATCACTGCTTTGTGGTCTCTAGAAGGTCACTTCCTTTCTTGAAGCTTAAATTTCAAGGCTGTGCTTTACTGGAGTTGGTCTGTGAGCTGGTGGTGAAGGCATGCTCCCAGGTCACCACAACTCACCCTTTCCTATAAGGACACCTTGCAGGTGACACAGCATGGCCTCTCCCTCAAAGCTGAAGATGAACAAGCTCGACCCAACCTTTACTGGCAGCAGAGCCACTCCCTGTAATATACATTACAGAAAATGCACGCTAGAGTACTGCATCAGCCAGCTGCAAGCAAAGCCTTCAGAGCAACCCTGAAAATAACTTTGTCTGGAATCACAGCCACAATGTCCATGAGAACCAAAGGGTTCTCATACAGCTGAATTCAGTTACCCTTCAGGGATCATTCACAGGCTGCAAATATTGCTCAGCAGTGTTGATTTATCTAGGAAGTCATTACACCCTGCCATGCCACAGGAATTCCAGTGACAGGAGGTTCATTTGGAGTCTTGCGCCCTGATTCAGCAAGTTACATCAGCAGGGGAGTATTTCCCACTGGCTGCAGCCGCCAAGTGACACAACGCTGGAATCGAGATTCGGGAGGGAAAAGGACACATGACAGTGCCAATTTCCTGCTGGCAGAGCAGATCCTCCACGATCTGATGTGCTACTGCTGCAAAGTGCTGCTTTGCCACCTACCTTCAGCTGGCAGTCCTCATTCACAGCCAGGTTACTTGGCTTCAGGTCCTACAGCAGACAAGAGCAGAAAAATATGGATGTTTTAAGCTGCAACACATTGACTCAAGCCTCAGTTGAGCCTATCCTTGCCTTTGATGGGKTCTCATAAAACCCCAGGTTCAGTATCAATTCAGCAAATGGCTGAATTAACACCATGCCTGATACACTATACAGCTTTAGATTACTAGTTATATTTTTTCTGAAACAGTTTTAATTCAAAAAACATCATAAAATGCTTCTTAGCTCATGAGAAAATTTTCTTAAAATGCTGCACAAATGAGCAAATCCGAAYATATATATGGTGTAGGATGGAAAAGAGAGCAGACAGGATGGAAAATTAGATCAGACAATGCTATTAGTGAGATGATGGTTAGGAATTTATTAATTTTATGACTATGCTGTGTTTCTCAAAGGGACAAAAATCAGGGTAAGAGCACCACATGTACTTACCCTGTGGACGATGCCAGCTGAATGAATATACTGCAATAAAAAGAGGAACCAAAATGTGATCRCCAGCAGACAAAATTTTCTGTTCTCCAGCAGAGAAATGAGAGCTACAAACAAGRACTTGCTGAGAACACAGCTCTGCAGCTCRCTGCAGCACAGGTCCTTGCTCTCCAGGACAGCAGTTTGAAAAGAAATCTCTGCCCCAAATTATAGACAGTATTTGCAATGTTATTGCCAGTCTAAAGAAGATGCATAGAGCAGAAGAGRAGGGATGAAGCAATAGTTCCTTAGAGCAAGTACAACAACAGCTTCAAACTGTAAAAGTCATCAAGGTTACACCAGMTGACGTGAAAATGTGGTTATTTTGGGTGTTAAAAAAATCTCAGTCTAAAAACATAAGAATGCAAAAACTGGCTACTGTTTTTTAGCACACCAGTCAAACCTTCTGTCTGTTCTTCCCCCCTTTATTTAAACTCAGGATAGCAGTGAACTGGGGAGAGGYGATTTAGGTGAACTCACTGATGCCTGTAAGCCACTGCTGTGACTGCAGGTGAAGGATGTTAGAGGGCAGCTGTAAAGCTCTGTCTCTGCATCCCAGAGTTTGCAGCAATTGCTTTCAGCTCCCTCAAAGCCAGGTACAGCAAYACATTCCTTCCTTATGCTACTGAACAGAAAATCATTCCCCCTGTGTTCTCCCCTGAGAGCCTCTGTTACAGATTCAGCGGAAGCTTCTGCTGCTGCCAGTCTCTCACTCTCTGTGTCRAGTTTTGCCCAGGGTTTTGGCAAGTCAGAGAGAGATGCAAGTGCTGCCATGGAAAACCACCACAAGGCCTGTGGCTGCTGATTGCTCTGATASCCGACTGACTGATGTGAGCAAACACCCATTTTATTGATGTGTGCTGGAACACGAACAGTTCAACAGCCTGTTCTTAGGAATGCCATAAACTCCCCACATCTTCCTGTACAATACTGAGGGGACTTTAGTCAGGGTCAACCCAGAGGTGACACAAGAGGAGACACAGGGAGTCACTAAACTCCTCCAGACCCACCTACCTTCAGCCCTTTCAGCATTTGGTAGACCAGGTACTGGATCTTTTCGTCACTGAATTCATGTCCCATGATCTTTTGTAAATCTGTCCGCATGTATGGCATCACCAGGTAGCTAAAAGGCAGTAAGACAAGGCCCTGAGTCTGGAAGAAAAATGCAGGGGACCAGGCTAGCCTTGTTCTCTCTTGGTTTGTTTTTTTTGGCTGTGTAACTGACTGTAACAAAGATGAGTTGTTGTGACAGTGTTCCTGGCTAACTCRCACAGCCTGCAGTGAAGCTGGAATTTCAACCTGTTCTRAAAATTGCTCTCYYTCCTCCCCTTAAATCAGATATCTGATGTCAAGTAAGAACAAGGATCTTCAGGATCCTGAATTAGTTTACTTTAGACCTCAAATGAAGTTCAGTTTTGGACAGCCTTTTACCACCCAGGAGCTGTAACATCTTACACAGCAAAACAGCTGCGCTGGCTCCTAAATTTTTCTTTGTAATGTTCTCCAGTCCTGCYTCAGAAGACAACATCCAGCTTCCTTCAGTATCTGCCTGCTGAGGCTGCTAATTAACTGATGGTTTTCCTGCAGGAACTGCTCTGAGAGCCTTCATGTGATTTTCCTGCAGTTTGCTAAACACTGAGCCAGCAGCCAACCCCAGGCAACCCCAAGCTGCTCATCCACAGTGATGGGGAAGGGAAAACGACTTGTCCAACCTGACCATGGACACTGAGAGAAAATGCCAAACAAAATTAATTAAATAAGAAGAGCCAGAATCAGGAGGAAAAGAAGGACAGATCTTTCAAATTCTCAGRATAATTTCCCTGAAGCTTGATGAACAAAGCTTCTTCCATTCTGAGCGCAGCCTCTTAGGTCAGCGGTCACACAGGCAGTGCTAGCATGGATCATGGTCACTGTGATGCACCMTGGAATGTGACACATCCTCATTGCACAGGTTGGTCTGTGTGTACTGTGGTCTCCCAGCTGTGAGTGGGGATGGCATCTGTTTATGTGTTCTGGGTGTGTCAGCCACGGGAGCTGACGTGTGCTTTAGATTCTCTGCATTATTYGGGGAAGCCTGGCTTTTGGTCTGGTCCCTTTGCACCTGACCCCTCTCTGTTATCCTGCTGCTAAGATACAGCTGGGTGGGGGCTGTGTGAGTGTAGACAGAGAAAACAACTCCAAACTTACAAGTCCTGGAAGCCCTGGTAGGAGGCAGTGGAGGTGAAGACATCAAGCAGCCCAATGACCTGAGGAGGGAGAAAAGGCCACGTTTAAACCTGGAAAGCATTTGCTGTGCACTTGAGACTCATCAGCTCTCCACTGGCACAGGCACRTGGGTGAACACAGAGAATTCCATCTGAGGAATCCAGGGACTCCTCACTGATGCTGCACAAATGTTTTCCCTCTTACTAACACCCATGGGCTCACCCATTACACATCTGTTCAGACGTGGGCACTGCAAACATGTCACAGGTGAACCCTGAGACTGCCTGCACATGCCAAATGTCAATTAAAATAGAGGGGGCGCCACCAAAAAGGACTTCCTCCCAGGTGGCAARGAAACACCCCTTGTATCAGCAGAAAGAGGAAAAATGAGCACTTACATTTTCATGTTGCATGTGCTTCAAMAGCATCAGCTCTCTGTAGGCTCTCTTGGCAAAGATCTCTGACTGGAATGGGCGGCACAGCTTCTTGATGGCCACTTTCTGCCCCGTCTTCTTGTCTATGGCTGAACTGCAGCAGGCAAATAAAAAACCATTCTGATGTCAGCAGCGTGYTTTAACAGATTCTGCAACCCCAAAGGTTGTCTCCTAGAGAAGAGTTAATTCTTGTGCTCACAGGACAGCAGAGAAAGGCCCTTTGAGGAACTCAAGAGGTGTTACCCTGTGTGGCACAGCCTGTGCTCTTTGAAGGATGAGGTGGGACACCAAACAGAGCATTAATGGCTCATCTTTATTCCCTTTAACCTGCAGAAACAGTTTACTCCAGGAGCTGGAGTAACAGCTGTGAGAAAAGGGAAACATAAATGGTTAAAGGTCAGAATTAGTTCTGACTCTCCCTTCTCCTTCCTTAATGCAGGGAGGTAAGGCAACAAAGATATGAAATTTCTCTTTGCCAGYTGCTTGGAGGTTGTTGTATTTTGCAGGCCAGCTGCCTTCGCCGTGTATTCTGGAGCAAAGACAGTGGATGTCAGATGTTGAAAACGCTGCTGCAATTAATTCTGCTGTGTTCAGATTCCTTGATGCTACACATTTGCTTCTGGGTAAGAGCAGGTCTGGCTGAAAATGAGACTCTTCTCTAAAGCTGATGAAAACGTGGTACAATGGCCATCACTGCAAACATGATGTGCTCTTCCCTCTGGTCACATTTGCTGGTCACAGCTGGACAGGGCCATCCTGTGACAGTTCCTCTTCTTCTGGAGGCTCCTTGCTCAGATTACAAAGGAGGCCCCACGTTCCAAGTGGGAAGGGAGGTCCTCAGCCAGATAGCTGTAATTCAGGATTCTCAGTGGTGTTTTCTAGGGTGCTTCAGCCCCTCCTTGGCCCCTCCCAAGAGGCAAACAGATGAAAAAAGTTTTCCTTGCCAAATCCCACTGTGGATTCCTAGAGCAGTTCCCACTGCTTCATAAATCCCAATCCCATCTCCCATGGGAAAGGAAGAGCTATAAATCATTGTGTTCAATCCCATTACTTCAAACTGCATCCTCCAGCCTTGCATTGACACATTTCCCTTTTGAGTCAGGAGAAGCAAAGGAAGTGCAGGAACAGCTACACCAGGCAGCTGAAGCCCTGAAGATCTGCTGGGTATCGTAGGAGGRCTTCTAGTGAGRTRCTGTCTCAGTTTCAGAGCTTCAGCAAATGTCAGCACTGCCCAAAGTTTTCTGAGGAGCCAGGAATATAAGAAGCAGGGACTCAGAGCAACAAATCAAACTGCAGAATCCAAGGCAGATTTCCCAATCTGAGGTGCACGTTCTTACCTGCCCTCCCAACTGCCGACTTGCAGAGCACCTAACCCCAGCACCCAGCACAGCAGAGCTGGTGATGGAGCTCCAGCCTGCACGGCACAGACAGTGCTGGTTACAGCCTTGCTGTAATCACAGCCGAGAGTGAGTTCAGTCGATGCAGCAGGGAGAGCCCTCCGTGTTCTTCCCAACACAGATTTAGTGAACAGGAATAGTTTAGGGTGACCCCAGGCAGGCAGAGCTGTGTCCCTGCCTCGGCTGGCAGAGATGGGCAAGACCAGCATTGGAGAGGCCAGAAGATCCGTTCACAGTTACATTCAGCTAGAAGCCAAATCACTTTATTTTGGCAAATTAATAAGGGGAGAAACAAGCTTTTGCTGTTTATCCTGAGTTACTTTCTCAGCTGCTCCAGAAGGTGTAAAAGCCACTGCTGCATAATGCTGCAATAGGAAAATTTCCCAGCAATTCCCAGCAGAGGACAGCAAATCCTAACTGCACACGCTTTGTGCAGGAATCGGCACGGAGCCCTCCCTGCTGAGCACTGTCCATTCAACACCACTACAGACCCCAGGGCTGTTTCAGCACCCTTCCCTCCTTGAGACAACCAGAGCTGCCAAGAGTTTTACAGGGACCAGTAAAGATTTGTCTTGATGTTTGTTTTTTTTCATTTTGGTAAGGCAATTTTGAAAGGATTTCACTATTCCATTTTTTTTTGTGCTGTCTTTGTTTTCCTTCCTGATTTCCTCTGTGATAAACATCAGAGAACACTGATGTTCTCTTTTAAACACTTTTAATACAAATTAAAAGTCAGGTCTAATCTTGCCTGATTTTGCAGGACAGACTTAAGAATTTAAGAAGTGTAAATACACCTGGGCAGCCAAGTGGGCACCTCTCTGTAAATTGGAAGCTGAGGGAAAAGGACAAAACCTGGGCACCAGGGTTTCAGGATTAGTGCCAATGGCAGGCCAGACTTTGCCCAACACTTATGAAAACTGACACACCTTTTTTAATTTTTTTTTTTTATTATTTTTAGCTCAGCATGTTGTGAAACAAGGGCTCTCTTCAGATACTRTCAATGGACTGTTTCATATTTAACCTTTCAGAGCTGCCCATCTCCTCTGGCTCGTCAGTGTAAACCAAGCCCTGTCTGACTTGTGCTTCTCTTCCTTCAGGCACCTTTGGCCGGCTGAATAATTAACAGCAGCTCTTGCTGCACTCTGGTAGGTTGGAGATTACCATCAGCCAAGAAGGAAATCCCAGTCTGTTACCGATCCAGGTTTAAAGTAATTTCTATCCCCTTTCTGATTTCAAGGTGGGGGTTGTATTGTACAGGCTGCAGCCCAGCCTCAGGACCCTCTGTCGCAGCACCCAACTCTGTTATCACCCACAGATCTCATCCAGACACGCGGGTACTCCCCCTGCTCTTGCCTTTGGTGCGAGACAGGAAGCGCAAGATCGAAATTGAAAGCTCCAAAGTTGCTCGAAATTGAAAGCTCCAAAGTGGCTGGAAATCCCCTTGTCCCCACTGCCGAGATGCCGCTCCAGGCAGCCCTGGCACCCCCTGCCCGGCCTCCCCGATCCCCTCTCTGCCCGTCCGGTGTGACCAAAGGGGGAAACATTTTCTTCAAGGCAGCGAGTGTCCAGCCCTGCGCTGGAGCAGGAGACAGAGTGCCTCCATCACACATGCAAATGTCCTGCCTTAATGGAGGGGTGCTGGCAAGCGCCGCCTCGTTTCCCCCCCGGCACGGAACTTCAAACACCCCCAGCCCGCCCCGCTGCCGCGGGCAGGACCCCACTCACCACACGGAGCCGTAGGCCCCCGAGCCCAGCGGGTGCAGGCATGCGTATCTCCTGGGCAGCTCCCAGAGCGTGTTGTTCACCTCCTGTCTGTAAAAGCCTCTTCTCCTYGCGATGTTCATCGCCCGCCGGGTGTGGGACAGCCACCCCCCCAGAGTAGTGGAGGACGGGAGGGCTTCTAGGGTGAGAGCGGGACAGGGAAGCTTCCTGAGCCGCTGGAAAAGGCTCTAGCAACTTTCCTTGTCTGTTTTCAGCTGTTGCGGGCGGGAAGGGACATGTCTTTGGACCCTCCTCCCTCCGCCTCCACACTGACAGAGGCGAGGCATCGAGTTTCCTGACACGCCTCGCTGTTGTACAGGTGCCTCTGGGCTCTGCTGCAGGAGGGGAGCACCCAGCCCCGCTCGGGCACGCCTCCGGGAGCTCCTGGCATCCACAGCTCTCACTGCTGCTCCATCAGCCGAGAAATATCCTCACGGGGCTCGGAGAGGGGCTCGTGAGATCCCTCCTCCAAACAAGGGGATGAGTAAGGGCTCGTCGAGCCGGGGAATCCGAGGGACGAGCCACAGCACCGCGTCAGACAGGCAGGGACATCCTTCTTTGAGAGCCGATGGACAGCTCCCGGCTGCTGACAAAGGACACCGCGGGGTCACATCGAGGGCGATTTTCTCCCAAGCCTGGCTTCCCAGCAGGGTGGGGAGGTGCCGAAAGCAGGGTGAGGTGCTCCAGGTGACTGCTGCGAGGAGGTTCAGGAGCAGCGGTGAGACTGGACCATCCCGAGGATGGTTTATGTCCCGGGCTTTGCTGGGTGCGGTTTCTGCAGCTCCTGCAGCAGGGCTGATCCCTTCCTGGGTCTGCTCGGACAGCACAAAGCCYGGGGTCACCGCTGAGTGTGTGACAGGCCACAGCCACCCCACGGRCAGGTCCGTGACTGGCGAGCAGAGAGCACCTCAACAGCTCCAGCAGGAGAAGGCCCAGGCGGGGCTCCAGCAGAGGCGCATCCTCCACGCTGCCCAAAGGAAGTGACTAAGCCGGGCCTTACCGAGCCAGCCCAGCTGCTTGCGCACTGTCCTGCCCCACCAGCCCTCCACCCTGCCCACAGCCTCCATACAGGGCTCCTTCCATGCAGGGCACCTGCAAACGCGGCCCTACAGAAAAAGCACAAGCAGGGAGATSGGAGAAATTCACTGTGCCCGCTCTCTGTGCAACCACCGCATTGGCCCTCACGTTCTGCAGGTAGCCACAGCAGAGGCTGCGGTTATRAAACATAAACCAGCACAAGGCACTGTGGCAATGTTTGAACCTTGCTCATGCGTATCTGTGTAATCTGCAGCAGCAGAAGAGCCTGGAAATAAAGCACGGCTTGGCTGGGTCTATAAATAAACCTGTGAGCAAGAGGTGCCACTGCAAAACCTCCTGGTCCTCAAGCAAACGTGTAACTCCTCGGTCATTTGATGAACACAACCCTTGCTCAGCTGCTTGTGCACATGCAGGTAAGCAGGGCACAATTAGGGAGTCACAAATAGCTGGGGCATGGCTGGGCTGTAGAGATGAGTTAACTTCAGTGACCAAATCAAACAGGAAACTTCAGAATCACGGAAACCTTTKGGTTGGAAATGACCTTCAAGATCATCAGCRTCTAACCACAAGCCTACCACTGCCAAGTCCACTCAAAGAAGTGGTGGGATGACCCAAAAATCCTTCTCCAGGCACTCTCTAGATGCAGCTGGGGTGACAATTAGTTACAAATTTGACCATGCTTCCCTTTCTAGAAACAAAAATTTCACCGTGGGCCTACCCAAACTCCTAGTGTGTTGTTCCCCCCTGTGATGACCCCATCATTGACTGGAGCACAGTTGGACAATAATTTTCAAGTGTTGCACACCGTTAAGCCTCATGAGTTAAGTAATTTGATTTTATAGATGTAGTTTATTCCCCCCCCCCCTTCAATTCTCACTGATACTTTTTTRCTAACCAGGATATATCGTAACTGAGCACATTCTGGAATTTTAAGTCTTGAGTGTTTGGGGTTTTTTCKTTTTTCTCCCAGAAAACAAATGACTGGTGCTATTTAGGCTACCCCTCTCCTCAAGGGCTCCCCCTCTCCCTCTCCTAGCAGACAGCAAAAGTGATCAGGAAGGCTCACGGGACTAAGATAACACCCCCAGCACTGCTCTATTTCCTCAAATCAGCTGCCTAACTGAACAACATCACCACCCTTGGTTCACCAAGGCTTAAAGCTTCAGTGATTGAGGGCTGTGTCAGTGTGAAGAACTTGGCTTGGTCAACCCAAATTCTTCTAAGGGATGGACACTGATGCACAAGAGAAGCTGGAAAAGCTCCACTGTGGTGATCTTGCCACTACCACAGCAGCTGAAGAGGAAAAAAATAATTTTTCAATGGCAAACAAGCACAACCCAGTACTACTGGGGAAGGCCCCAGGTCCAGGTCTGCTCTATTTGTGTTGAATTAGTGCTTCCCTGCATTAAACACAAAATAAAAGTTGCTGTTTTTTTTCTGTGCTCAGTACTCATGATCAGACTCTTAAGTTATTTTTGTGGCAAAGAATTCACTTGGGACAAACACAGACAAACCCCAGGAGAGCAGAGTCAGCCACCAAGTCATGGCCTTGTCCCCCAGYCCAGCCATCGCACCCAGGAGCACAAAGGAGAAATTCCCACCACGCTAAAACTCAACACTTCAGTGCAAGAGCTTTCCAAGTACCAGCAGTGCAGTAAATCTGAAAAATAGATTTTATTTTTAACCAGTGGTATTGTGACATCTTATCTGGCATAACCAATTACAGCAAAATCCATGGATAGAAACAAAATAGCAGATCTCTTCTTTTGGGTGCAGCGTCCTGCCCAGGCAGCCGAGCAGCACTGACAGCAGGGAGTTTGTGCCCCACGGGCTCCCTCAGAGGACTCTGATGAACCATTCCCACTCACACACACACAGACACACCCACACACACACACACAACACCGATAGTTTTTAAAAATCTTTAGCAATATTTCTGCATGAAATCACACTGTAGCATCTACACATAAAATGGCTGATAAAAATAATCTTGCTGTAGGTTTACATTGTGTATCTACATTTTCGTTTGAATACCCAGACTGCTGGCCCAGCAGAAAAGGGAGGTTTTCTGTCTTGATTTTGTTGGGCTGAGGAGAGTTTTATCCTAGAGCACAACAGAACTGCTCTCTTCAGCTCAGCCCAGACCTTTATTAAATGTTTAGCCTGAAGAGATTGCCGGGAAGTAGCCTGGGAAGAGTCAATGGCTTTGTCCCATCCCTTTGTGCTGCCTTTTCAAACATGGGGCAGAAACACTACAAAAGCACTCTCTGCCCCACAGGTAACAAGAATACAAAATACTGCAAAAGCCTKTCTCCTCACATACACGGGTACATTGCCCACACAGGATGCCTGCAACAAATTAAAGTCTAAAAATGTTTCCTCCAGAAGCCCTAAAACTGGGCTCCTGAGCTCCCCAGCTACACATGCATGCGGAGCAACCTCCCTCCTGCCAGCCTCTAACTCTGGGCACTTCTCTCATGCAGRATCCTGGAAAATACAGAATATTTGAACCATGTTTGTATTTAAACATACTCCCTTCTCATGTTTCCTCAGGCAGAGATCAACCTGCTAAGAAATAGCCAAGAAGCTCTTATGTAAGAGGATAAAAAAACCTTCTAGTAAATGTTAGTTTTATGTATATAAATATTTGTATTTATAGATATAGACAGTGAAAGGGTGATTGTGTGTTTATGCATGCTTATTTCTTTGCTTTGGATTCCAATACTTCTAAAAAAAATCATTTCAGGAAATAACTTAAGTTCTGGCACAAGATACTATAGTCATTTCTTTAAAGAACATTTTTTACACTTGATCTCACAAGAAATCCTCCAGGCCAAGCTCTCCCCCTCTGCAGAGAGAAGGTCAGAACAAAGAAAAAGGTGCATGTTTCTCTGTGCTGGATATGACATCCTTCCCTCRTTGAAGATTCTAGAATGGCAGGTATTTCACAAGGAGCTGCAGCACAGGAGGAAGGGTGCTGTGATTTTATGGCACTGCCTGAGGTACTCAGTAAACATTTCAGTGACGATTGAACTGCCCCCAGTGCCATCCCCAAAAAGTAAGGACAAAAATCAAGCAGCTCTACATGCACATACAGCTACAACATGCARAAACACACCACCTCCAAAAGAACAGAATACACAAACGTGTGGCTAGCAAGGATCTTCCCCACCTCTGTCTCCTGGGAGATAATGCTGAGAAGCCTCAGAACAAGAGGAGGAAAGGGAAAAACACAGGAACACCCAATCCAGGGGCTGAAGTTGTTGCCTCAGAAAGTTACTTCTCAATGACATTGAGTTCATGCCTGGCTACCTGGGAGCCTTCACCCTCAAGAACAGTGGGTCAGATTTCCACCCCAGACTTCCTTTCCCCTTTCTCCCCATTCATTTAAGGCACAAACATATTTACAGTTTCAAACAACATCTTTTCATGTTCCAAGAGTCAGCCACTGGAAGGCCTCTACACTCTGCTGTACCAGGAAGATCTGGATGTCAATCACACCTGGCATTGAACAAGGACGTCCCTCAACCCCACCTTCRGTCCTGAAGAAAACAGAGGACTCTCTAAGCCTATAAACCAACTTTCATTATTTTGAGGTTACTCAGTTGTAGGAGAATTGGTAAATGGCAATGATTGCAACCAAACCTTTAAATGTCACCTTGCCCCAGCAGTACAAACTGGTGGTGCACTGTTACTCTGGAAGAACGAAGTGCAGTCAGAACAGGTCTCCAGAGGCTTGCCCCAGGCTGTACACAGAATACAAGAGCATGCAGCATGTTTACATAGACTCAGCTTTCTTCCCTCCCCCCTCCCTCCCCAGTTCAACACACACAAAACCCCTCCACTAAGGAGAATATTGTTGTGATGAGGCACTTGAACGATAATCGGAGAGTCCCTATGAAAAGGCCTTCCCTTCACAGTGAATGGGACAAACAGAAGAGAGCAGTTTCTCAGGACTCCATCTCCTCTTGGTCAAGCGGGGGTGGCACAAAGCTGATTACTTCATCGTAAGTCAGGCCTGGGGGGAAAAGTGAGACACAAACTTAGAAGCAGGACTATGACAGCAATGCTAGACACACCCTCATGCAAGAAAACCTGCAACGATCTCAAATGTCATAATGCTATTTTAAAGAAAAAAAATACTGTTTAATTAAGACAAAAGAAGAAAAGAATGGTTACACCRCTCTCAGAGACTTAACATACACAATAAAAGATGCTTCCAGAGCATTGAGGAGATGTAAGTTTGAAAACAAAGATATGCTTGTATGTTCTTGGTAGTAATTAGTTAGCAGGACTATGATAAATATGTGCACAGCAGGTGGTAGATTCACTCAGGACCTACAGGATGCCCATTTTTATCGCTTCCTTTTGTGCCACTAACTACCATGGCTTAGTTGAACCACAGCTCATGGGATGGAGAGGAGAAGACTGAGGGGAGACTCATCAAGGTCTGAGAGGGGCAGGCACCAATCTCTGCTCTCTGTGAGCAGTGACAGGACCCAGGGAAGGGCTGGAGCTGTGCCAGGKGAGGGCTGGGATGGATCCCAGGGAAAGGTTCTTCCCCCATAGGGTRCTGGGCACTGCCCAGGCTRCCCAGGGAATGGGCACAGCCCCGAGGCTGCCAGAGCTCCAGGAGTTTGGAAAATGCTCTCAGGGACAGGGTGGGATTCTGGGGGTGTACAAGACCTCTGCAGGGCCAGGAGTTGGCCTCCATGACCCTTGTGGGTCCCTTCCAACTCAGGATATTCTACAATTCTACAACCACAAGAGAAGCTGACTGGCTCTCTCTCCCCTGCCCCAGACTCACTTTTCCATTCTTCAATCTCRAGTTCTCTGCTTTCAAAGGACTGGTCGTA